CATTGCCGTGTCTCGGCTCAAGGGGCCGGGTGAGGGGGGGCCTTGGGCTCTGACCGGTGCCTGCGGGCTAAGGGCTGTTTAATTGTGGGGTGGATGGTTGGGCTCAGGCTGCAGCCTTTGGGCTCCTTCACCTCACGGGATGCCAGGGCCTGGGCTCCCCCAAACGATAACGCTGCAATTCAACCGCGCCTTCGCCCGAGCCCTGCGAGCCGCCAGCAGGGCCGGGTGTGGAACTGTCGATGGACCCGGGCGTTCTTCCTGAGCAGCGCAGACGTGATGCTGGAGTGGATCGGCTTGCACAAGTCTAGTCCTGTGCTATATCGCGCTCCCCAAATCGGGCACGGAAAACACCGGTCCTAGCCCCGGCCCAGTACGACTGCTGCTGGGTACAGCGCAATAACCAGTCCCTCCCGTGGAGCTCCATGCAGAGGGGTTGCTGGGATGCACCTTCTGGTAGGCCCCAGCCCTGGCGCATGTCCTGCCGCTCTGGGCTGAGGCAGGATTCAGTGCGCCCAGGCTGGGCAGGCAGATGATGGTGTGAAACCCTCCATGTAAACCCGGCTGCCCTGTTCAGGTGCTGTGGGGGTGGCTGGCCTTTTGTTAACCAGGTTGAGTGCCCGGCTGTAGAAAGGCAATGGCAGGCCTTTAAAATCGGCTGGTGAGTGACCAGCATAGGTGTGTGGATACCTTGGTGGTGAACATGATGCCACCAAAATACCGAGACGGTAAAAGCATTTAGTCCCCTGTTCTCAACGTGGGATCTTGCCCGCTGGCACGGTTGGTTTGGGGGAGGGGAGAATGGGGGGTTGGTATGGGGCTTGTGCGTTTGTTCTCGTTCTCTCTCTCTCTCGTGGCCTCCTTGACTCCCAGCCTGCACCAGATACGGCGCTCCAGGAGTGGAGTTCACTGGCTTGCACAAGGAGACTGCCGCCGTCACGCAGATGCACTTTTTGCCTGGACAGGTACGTTGCTGCGTTCAGGTCTCATGGCCCGGCCTCTCCTCCAGAGGCAACGGCTCCCACCTGAATGGGGAGTAGCCCAGGCCCTGCTGTCCGCATGGTGCAGCAGCCCGTCCTCTGATGTAGCCAGACTGCTGGCCGTTCTCTGGCAAGGAAGGGGGCAGGCAATGTCTCCAAGCCCCCCGAACTCCTCCTGGCCTGATAATTCCCCCCTCCCCGCACTAGGGCCTCCTGTCCTACACAAACTCTGCCCCTTGGAACAGCTCTGCTTAGCAGGGCCTTGGAAGACTTCAGCCACTGCTGTGGGGAGGGTGGGTGCGGCCAGCAAGCGGATGCAAGGCTGAGCCTTTGGGATGGTGCTTAAAGGTACCTGCACCCAAATCCAGAGTGGTGGGCTGGTGCGGCTGTGTCCAGCGGGTCTCGCCGTGGAGCAGGGGGACCGAACTCCTCATCCTGTGACGTCCTGGGTTTCCTCACACGTCGCGCTCTCTCCCCCAGGGCCGGCTGCTGTCCTTGCTGGATGACAACACCCTGCACCTGTGGGAGATCGACCAGAAGGACGGCTATTCGCACCTGGAGGAGACCCTCAGCTTCACCCTCCCTGGCCGAGCAGGGTTCGACAGTGCTAAGTACTCACCGCCGCCCGCCTCCTTTTGCATGCGTGTCTGGGGAGTTAGGGCTGTGCTGGAGCAGGACAGGACCTGGGGTCTGCTGGGTGCCGAGTGCTTTGTGTGTGCCCCTGGTTTGCTGACCTGGCCCTGTCCGCTCAGAGCCCAGCTCCCTCGGGCCTGTGCTGGTTTGTGCATCATCCAGACCTCCCAACCTCCTGGAAACGTGGTGTCGACCCAATAGCTGCTAGTCACGTGCAGCTAATTGGCCGGTTGAGTGTAGCTAGCTGGCGAAGGGAGCTGGTTGGACGCCATGGTCCTAGAAGTTTGGCACGAGGGCCCAGTTTTAATCTCCCTCCCTTTGGGGAGCCTACGGTCAGGATTTCGCCTGCCGGAGTCTTGCTGGTCATGATGTGCAAACCGGGGCCCCTCAGACCCTGGTGGGGTTTTGCAGAGCTGGACACCAATAGCTCAACTGCTGCCGTGTAAACAGAGCCAGCTTACCTAGGAGGAACGTGAGGCAAAACCCACGGACTGTACTTTGCTCATTTTGGGCACTTCTGCAACATCCACACGTGAGGGAGGTGTTAAAGCCGCAGTTCGGGCCCAGTGCCGGTTGCAAAGCGCTTGATGAAACGCCAGCTGTGAAACCTTTAATCGCTCTGCCTTGTGAGCCTGTCCAAATAGCCCAGATTTTAGTGTAAAATAGCTTGGACTTGTTGAACTGAATCTAAGTTTCTGTTGCCCTGTACGGGCCACTCTGAGGAAACCGCCGACGGGTATTTAAAAGGCCAAACATCCCCGTTTAATTTTATCCATCTGGTTCAATCACTTCTCCTAAGCAGCAGTTTCATTCCTTCTCCCCTCCAGGAATCTTTACCCTGGCTCTGTGGTTTCCAAAGCCTTCCCTTTTGTACACAGCTGTATAGTTCTCCTATCTCTCTGTTGCCATGGGAATGGTCGCATTGGTGGAGAAAATAGACAGAGCTTGCGTGGTTGAGATTAGCTTGGCTCTGCAGACACCTCTGCTTATAAATGGGGAAAGGCAGCATGGCTGAGTAACTGCCGGGGGAACAAACTGAAGTCTGAGTTTCAGCCTTTGCTGGACTCTGCAAACGCATGTCTTTCAATTAAAAAAAAAAAAAAAAAACAACAACCAAGAAACAAACCACAGTCTCCTAAACAAGCAGCAGTGATAACAGGACAGAGCTTGCAAAAGGTCTGCCAGAGTTTATTCTCAAGCTTCTCTGTGCTGGGGCGAAATTTGGCTGCAGTGTTGCCAGATGAAATAGTTTGGTTTTTTTTTAAATTATTTAAATCTGCTTGGCCTCATTTTACTTCAGGGTGGGGAAGGACAATCCCACCCTCATTCTCATGGGGATGGGCTGGATCTTTTGGGCCAACTAACAGTGTAAATGAAACCTTGAGTTCATTTTACGGGTGCCTCTGTCTGCACATCTTACTCCTCGGTTCTGAATGTAGCCCAAATATACTCTGTAAAATTTGCTACCAACCACTCTAGGTAGGTAGCACCGTTTCCTCTTTCTTTAAAACAAATGGATGCTATTACGAGTTCAATGTTGCAGCCCCTACGGTTGAGGGAAATGCTTCTGCGATCTTTCTGAAAGACCAGAGAAGAATTTTTTTTCCTAACCTCAGCGGCATTTGCTGCCCAAGCCTTGAATTGCTGCACCTGCCCACAATAACCAGCACGGAATTAATGAGTCTCTCTGGGCATTGGATGATAAAAGAGCAAATGTTAAATGGCAGAATTTCAAAAAAAGCTGAGATTTTTAACTTGTACAATTACAAGCGCAGCAGAGGACCGTGTTCTCTTAAAATCGCCTCCGGCCTGATTTTTCCGAAGTGCTGGATGCCTCGAATTCCAGTTGAAGCTAATGTCAGCTGATGCGAATCCTCAGCATCCTTTTGTGAGCAACTTGTGCAGACGCTCCGAGCAAAGAGTTACTGGTTTTTGCACATATGGTTGCTACCATCGCGTGCTCATGTGCTGCATTTTGCAACTACAGCTGCTCAGCTGAGGCAGTAATAAAAACGAAGGGGTAAATTCTGATGTCCCTCTGGCTAGCTTTGGAAGATGCAAGATCCTCTTCCTGTGTTGCAGTCCCCTTAAATGAAGGCTTTGTTCTGGTGCTGTTTGCATCATTGAGAGCAGGCAGGGGCACTATTCATGTTCTGGGTGGAAAGTCCTGTGAAGCAGGAAGAGGGCTGTGGAAACTCACCGCGCACACACAGCGCGTGTGAGTGGGCGAAGGAGCGCCAGTTGCTTTACATAATGGTATGGTGGCCCTTCTGCACAGATACCTGCCTATTCCTGTTTACCGCTTGGTACGGCCGCAACCTGCCAGTGCAGCAGCTGGGTTTACAAAGAGACAGCCCTGGGCAATCTTTCTTTGGATCGAAGACTTTCGGAAACAATACAAAGTAGGAGCAGAGGTTAACGGATCACTCGCTTAAACAATGAGACGGGTACAAGTGACGTCAGGTACTTAATAGCAGGGAATAGAAACGGGCCCAGCTATTGAAACAGCCATTTGGGAAGCTAATGAGCAGCAGTAGTTAAATTGGGGTGACTGATCTGGGCAGGAGACCTGTCTGTCCTTCCGATTTCCCAGGTGATGAGCAGGCTACAAGGCGATGCCGTCGTCGTTCCTGGCTCCAAATCCTCCAGTGAAGTGGTGTAATGGGAAACCCAGCTGCTGCGGTGTCAGGTTGAGGACCACGGGTGGGATCTGCTGGGTTACAAACCCCAGGTCAGAGTAGCTGCTCGCTCCCGATGGATGACGATGGCTGGAAAAGGCGCCGTCTAAGACTGATGTTAAAGCCCCTCCTGAGTTCTAGGCCTGGCTCGGGGTACGTCCCAGTGCTGCTTTGGAGCTCGCTCCCTGAGCCGGGGGTCTCATGCGCATGGAATGCCAAATCCCCAATGAACAACGGGGTCAGCCTGGTTATTGATGGGGCCCTGGAGGAGCTTGGCTGGAATCGCCTTTTGGCTTCCTTCCATGCTAGGCAGTGCTGCCCCCTGCTGCCTCTGTGTCGGCACTACATCTTTCAGCTCTCATTCACTAGGCCCAGGGCAGCCGTGCTGGTGGGAGAGGAGGAGTCTGAGACAGCTCTCATTCACTAGGCCCAGGGCAGCCGAGCTGGTGGGAGGGGAGGAGTCTGCACAACTGACTGACATGCAGACCCCTGCCCTCGGGTGGAGTGGGTCCTTTTATTACTGGAATCGCTGAATGCCGCTGCTGGGCCTTGAATTCTCCTCTCTCAAAATCCAGCCCGGTGCTAGAAATCTAAATCCCCCTTTAAAAGACCATGATGCCCAAGCAGGACTTAAAGTCACTTGAAAGCAAAGATAGGGTTGCCAGATGGTTTAACAAAACATACCGAACACCCCCCTCCCCACCTCAAAAAAAAAAAAAGCGCTGTGCCTTTAAATGAGCCCATGCTCCTCACTCCCCCGTCAGACATGGCAGGGAAAATTGTCCCTGCCGGGTTTCTGTCCAAGAGAAACGGGAAATACCGGACATTTCACATGTCCGATATTTTCTGTAGTTTTTTTTTGTTTTTTTTTTACCGGACAGGGGACCCGAATAACAGACAGTCCGGGCGAAAACTGGACACCTGGCCGCCCTCAGCAAAGAGGCTGCCTGGCTAGATAGGGCTCAGCTTGTAAGATGGCAGGTGGGCTGAGGAGCAGCTTACGGGAGACGGGCAGAGCAGGCACCGGGCGAGAGTTGCCCCAGCACTGAGGTTGTCAGACTCTCGGATGCCTCTCTGCGGTGGCTGCTTTTGGGGGTTCCCCGCCCCCCCCCCCCCACTGCCTCTGCTGGCTTGATGGGCAGGCGGGCCTCAGGGGTGCACAGCAGGGAGCTGTCTCCTTTGTCCGGCATGCAGGCCTTTGAAGAGCTCACAGGCTAGAGTGTAAGAGGGAAGGCGATTGCTGTCCGGGGCAGTCGCGATCCTCTCCTGGGGTCCTAAACGGCTTCGTCGGGTATAGACAGAGCAGCTTGCCTCTCTGTCCCCAAAGAGTCGCCGCGGGGTCTAAAGCCAGTTATAAACATGCAGGCGCCAGTCTGCAGGCTTGGTCCCCCCAGGCTCCTGTGGGCCAGGGTCCATCTCCACCAAAGTGGAATGTCTGTTCCCTCCTTGCGGGGCCCTGGTAGCTGAGGCAGGTCAGGGTCCTTGGGGAAACGCTGATGGCAGGAACCGAAGCTACAGTCGGTAGGAATTGAGGGAGCTTTGTCCAGGCTTGGACCCTGAACGGACGTGGCTCTGCTCAGTAGATTCTCGTGGGCAACCTTTGGGACCCACTGGTGTCCTGTGCTTTGGAGGGCCCATAAAAGGCAGCAGCTGCAGTTGCCCCAGTATCCGCCGGAGGGAACCAGCCCACGCTTCTCTGTCAGCCACGGTGCATCCCCTGGAGGGAACGGGGAAACTCCTCTCCGAATGAGCCACTGCACTGTTGCGCATAAACCTCCTGCCTCTCAACTGGCGTGGCTCTCATTGTCTGAATCTTGTCTTCCCTGCAGCTCTCCTCCCCGCATTACCCCGGTGACGGTCATCCTGTTTCACAGAAGGGGGTGGCGTGTACTTCCTGGAGCTCGCCGGCTTCACGCTGCGGGAGGATCAAACCCTGTATCAAGAGGAGATCCTGCAGAGGTGAGCCGGCCTAGGCGGCTGTGTGGACGGGTGCTGCTGGAGATCGGCTCCTGGTGGTAGGCGCCAACGTACACGGCCGGGCTTGGGGCGGCTGTGGCTGCCGACCTGTTAATGTTACCTGTAAAATGGGGCTGCTCCCTGGCAAGCGTGGAGCCTGCTGCCGGGAAGAGGGTCACGCTGAGCCGCTTCAGGGTGGAGCTGAGCTGCCTGGAGGCTGCCCCCTTGGAGCGCTTTCTGCAGCGGCCTTGGGGCTGACAGAGAGCAGCTATGCGGGTCACTCCCCTCCACCAGGCTGAATAACTGGCTAGGACAGAAATAACACACGCAATAGCCGCGAAAGGCCCGTGGTAACGAATGGACGTGTGGGGTAATGAGGCCCATGATATGCTGATCTATAGGAAAAAGACACTTAGTCATCAGTAAGGTGAGGAAATACAAATACGGAGAAAAGGAAACCTCGCCGACTGTATATGCATCAAGCAGAACGACGTCAGCGTCACATACGATAAAAGTGCCATCCCGGCCTAGGGGCGGTAGGAGGGCGTGTAGTCCTTGGGAGGTGACAGCATGGTGGGGAAGGTGCAGGCGATGGGGAAGACGATGGCGAGCGCCCCCGGTGCTAGAAGGAATGGTGTGAGTGTATGGAACGGAAATACAGCTGCCTGTCTCCCATGAACCCGGGGGGTTTGTGACTCTGCTAAATGCATTAGGGAACTCTGTAAATGGACAAGAGTTCTGGAGTGAGCGTTGCACCTGTGCACGTCCGGGTTCCCAACCAGAGAATCCGTAAACACGGGGCCTGATCCTGGGAGAAAGGACCCCTCCACCGTAAAGGTGGTAACTGGCAATTCCTAAGTAATCTTGGAGCAGGCACCGCTGTACGATACCTGATCCTCTCCCGCATCCCCGAGCAGGACGTGGGAAAGACCGAAGCGGGTGCTGTGATCAGAGACTCCATCCCAGGGCTCTCTCAGCCTAGTGGGTAGGACTGGGGGGTAGCTTTGTGCAGTGCTTGTGCCCAGGACTGGGGGTAGCTTTGTGCAGCGCCTGTGCCCAGTGGCGTTCAGATTAGGTTTGGAGCCCGTCCCTTGATATGTGGCTCCCTAACACGCCTGCCTTACCCCTCCGACGGGCCAGGAGGAAGGCAGGTGAAGCTGCCGGTTCTGTGCCCTGTATGAAGAGACTGCTCTGACTCCTCCGTCTGCATCCTGCTGGCTGTTCGGGATGTTCACACCCTCCTCTAGGGCAGAGAGGACACCCTCTTATTCTTCCTCCCCACCACACAACAGCTGGGCGGCGCTGTCTCCCCACAGGGCTGGGGAGAGGTGAGAGCAGGTACCTGGCTGCATGGCTCTTCCCCAGCCTGGTCCCCCCCCCCCCTTGCTTCCCTGCTAGCGTGCCAGACGACTACCGCTGCGGGAAGTCTCTGGGGCCCGTAGAGTCGCTGCAGGAACACCCGCAAGACTCCTCCAAGATCCTGATTGGCTACAGCAGGGGGCTGGTGATCGTGTGGGACCAGAGCACCAGAACTGTCAGCCACCTCTTCCTGGGCAATCAGGTACCTTGGATGGGGTTTCATGGAGAGCATCGTGCGCTCTGGACTGTGGGTGTCCCGCTTAGGCACGGACCACGGGAGCTTAGCTCCCTCTTGTCAGTGGCAGGGAAACCAGGCCTGGCTGGCAAGGACCCGTGGCCAGTGTTCTCCCATAACGTTTCCATCCCTGTGTGGAATAATTTTTTATACGCACTGAGGAATGTGCACCACCAGTAGACACAAACCTAGCTGTGGGCACTCTGCTGATCAGCTGGGCAGCATCTGAATTTCTCCTGCGTGGCCGCAAGCACCCAGCTTACAGGGAACACCACCTGTGGCCAGAGGGACAAGGATGCTTTTGATTTGCCTCTGCTGCCTTACAGCAGCACCCGTGATATTGCAGTGCTCCCCAGGCCTCCATTGCTGCCCTGATCCTCCCTCTCCGGTATGAAGTGCTGTCTTGTCCCCTTGTCCCTTTGGGAAAAGCAGATCCTGCCCCGGCTGTGTTTGCATAAAGGGGATGAGATGCCCCGGATCTCTCTCCACCTTGGGTTGATTGGCCACATCTGTTCCTTGCAGCAGCTGGAGAGCCTTGGCTGGGAGCGGAGCGGCAGGACGGTGGTGAGTTCGCACAGCGATGGGGGCTACATGGTGTGGGCCATCCACAGTAGCTGCCAGAAGACTCTGCAGCCGCTCATGTCCACTATCCCCTATGGTGAGTTGGCGTTGCCTCGTGACCTGTCCGCCTTGGTCCCCCGCTCTAGCCACGGGCCCGAGGGCTGTTTCGCCTTCTACTGGGGTTTGTCATAGGGATGTAAGCGACTAGTCGACTACTCGATGAGCAGAAGCTTGTCGGACGGTCGAGTAGTCACTCAACTACTCGCTCCCACTGCCTCTATCAAAGAGAGGCAGTAAAGGGTGCGAGCAGGAGCCCGTGATGGGGGGGGAGCTGGCTTAAAATTTGGTTCCCCCCCCCACACCATCTCCGCAGAGGGCAGGGTAGGCAGAGACATCCTGACTGCTGCTCTTCTGCCTTTGAAATGTACAAGAGCCGTGGGCGGCTCTTGTACATTTCAAAGGCAGAGGCACAGCAAGATAGCGAGCTCCTTCCCCTATGGCAGGGTTTCCCAAGCAGGGTTCCTCGGAACCCTGGGGTTCTGCAGACCATTGTCAGGGGTTCCGTGAGAAATCGTGGAATGAATGAATAAATAAATGTTTTCCTTACAGTGTAAGCTGACATACAGGGCTCGACAAATCGGTGAAACTACTCGACCGTGGCGAGTAGGTTTCAGCCGGTTGCCCCGTTCACCGGCGGCATGCACAATGCGGGTCTTGCGCATGCGCAGTGCGGGGCTGGCGAGTAGATTTCACCGCAGTTTGTCAAGCCGTGTGTGTGTAAAAATAAATTAAAAAACCAGCTCTTTACAAATACATTTTATTGACAATAATTTAGAAGTAATTGAATTGTGCTCCCTGCTGTCAACTTTTTCTGGCCAAGCAAACATCGGGGTTCCTTGGGATATGGAAAATTATTTTAAGGGTTCCTCCATGGGGGAAAGGTTGGGAGTCACTGCCTTATGGACTAATCGAGTAGTCGATGGAAATTCCATCGACTACTCGATTAGTTGATGAATTGAAATTTAACATCCCTAGTTTGTCATTATCCCCCTTCTGACTTCGCGCTAGCCCCAGGACCTTATTGGAGGGGAGGCGGGTATGGAGCTACAAGGAGAGTCTCCTGCCTGGGGCATGAACTCACGTGGTCAGCTGTGCTGTTCTCGACAGGGTGCTCCGAAGTGGCCACTGGTGGCCTAGGGCTTAGGGAGGGGTGGCCGTGGGACAACTGCTGTGGCATGTGCCCCTCGCTTGCCAGCAAATGTTGTATTAGCTACTTGGGCTCTGAGGTTTAAAGGGACCCTGCCTGTAGCTACATCTTGAGGCTGCCAGTAGCGTTCAGCTCCCCAAAAGAACCCTGCCCCCCAGAGGACAACGAGGGCTTCCCCGTGGGCCCTGGGGGTGGGAACAGGAGGCTAAACCTCCTTCACTCGTGGCACGAGACAGAGCCACACGCAGTAGCTGGATCGGGATCCCTGTAACTAGGATGCCACGGCTCTGCGGCTTCCGTCTGGAACTGGCCACTCTCCTGTTACCTGGACGGCTGGAGCAAGCTGGTGTCTCCAAGCCTGGGCCGGCCACGTGCTGCTAGCAGGGTGTTTCCCCCAGGAGTTCCCTCCTGGAACCCGACCACGTCTGCTTGGCGTGCTGCTGGGCAGGGAGTTCAGCTCCCGTGGGGACTTTGGTGATCTAGGGGAGGGTGGTCTGGAGGCTGCTGGATTTGCAGGTGATCACTGAGTAGCCACTTTCGAGTTAAGCCCATAGCAGCTCGTGCCGGTGGTGTCCTTTGGGCTGGGCCGGATGCTCTGGTGCAGGGGACACCCGCTGCTGTCTCCCAGCACCGAGAGCCCTGCTGAGCAGCTGTCTTCCTACAGAAACAGCTGGGGGCTGCTCCTGATGTGGACAGGAGAGCGGATGGACTCCCAAGCCAGCGGGGGGAGCTGCTGTGGTACAAAGACGGGAGTGGGGTGACTTAGGGGGGCCCGTCCGAGGAGCTGGGGTTGCGTAGGGAGGATGGTTTTAATGTGGCGACTCCTTTGTTCCAGGTCCGTTTCCCTGCAAAGCAATCAACAAAGTCCTGTGGAGAACCTGTGAATCTGGGTACGGCCCCTGCACATACAGTCGAATATTGTCGGACGGCTGGGGAGGGGCACTTCGTGCTGCTCTCACAGGGTGGTGTCCGGGGGGGCCGTCCCCCCGAGCTGTGGAGGAGTGCACGAATTAAGGGGGGGGCCGTTAGTGGAAACTTTCTTTTCAGAGCCTGAGCTAAGTTCCCGTTATGAACGCTCCTCTTCGTACAATGGATGCTAAGGCGCCGAGTTTTCTGCCCTAGCATGTAGGCTTCTGGGCTAGCTAAACCATGGCCCCCGGCGCCCTTGAGCGAGACGGAAGTGAGGTAACCCCTAAAAGCAGGAAGGGGGCTCGTTCCACGCAGCGCCCTGTACCTGGCGTGACGCTCAGGAGCAGCAGTTAGCGGCCAGTTTGGGGAAGCGACTGGGGTAGTTTGACTGCAGTCGCTCCTGTCGGGGACACAGCGCTTGGCTGCATTGGCTAGAACCAAAGCAGAGAGAAGGTTTAAAGGTGGAGGCTGGAGGGAGGGCCCTAACCAGAGCCTGGATCCAAGCAACCCAGGGCCTGAAGTTTGCTGAGAGATGAATCAAAACCGGGATTCTACCTTAGTGAAGTGCAGCTCCTGGGCTGTCTCGAACCCCACTGCTCCCTTGTCTGGCGAAACGCCCGTACGGCCGGCCTCTCTGCTCTGCCTCTTCCTCGGGGCAGGTTGGCTCCACTGCACAGCACGGCCTGTGTCCTACGATTGCTGCATTTTTCTAGTCCCTCCTGGGCTGCGGGGGGGTGGGATGTCTGGGCAGAGCTGGCCAACCTGCTGTATGGAGCCAGGGTGATAGCATGAGGGATGCCGCGGGGGGCGGGAGCTCATGTGAGGAAGGGCTCTGGCGCTTGGGGTACCAGGCTTTTTCTGGGGAGGTGAGGTGGGGTGGGAGGGAACATTATTAGAGAGAGTTTTGAGGATCCTTTCTGCCCGTGACCCCCATCACCATAATGTCCAAGTGCCTGAAGCTCTTTCCTGTGGTCCTCACCCCTGGGAGGCAGGGCGGTGAGGATGTTCCCATTTTATAGCTGCAAACTGAGTTCCAGAGACCAAGCGACTTGCTCACGCTCACACAGGAAGCAGGGGGTAAAGCAGAGAATTGAGCCTAGCTCTCCTCATGTCTAGGTTAGTGTCCCGAGCCTGGTGCCAGCCTGCCTCAGAATGGCCCCTTCCAGGAACACAGGAACGCCTCCCCGGGCAGCCCCTGTTCAAAATGCCACCAGCAAAACTCGGGGGTGACCCCCTCTGTACCACTCAGGCAGCTGGGTGCCACATGGGCTGTCAGGAGAACATCGTGCGTTGGTATTCCGGGGCTGGCCAAGGTGCCCTGCTGCCCGGCCAGGGCTGGGAGCCTGGCTTCTCATGCCAGCCGAGTTCCTGGCATCACCCCCATCTGTCAGGTGCCACTTTCAGCTAAGCCCCTCTGCGGCCCCTCCCCTGCACGTTCACTCTTGGGCAAGGTAGAATCCCCACAAAGTCAGTCCAGGTAGGGTTTTCTCAAGGGTGTTTTGGTGGGACATGGAGTTCCTGCAGGGGCTTGTGAAAGTCTCGGCCGGGAGGCCCCACACCCCAGCCAGTGGGATGAAAGGAAATCCTATAGCCGGCTCCTTCTCCCTGCTTGCAGAAGCCACTTCATCATCTTCAGCGGGGGCATGCCGCGCGCCAGCTACGGGGACCGGCACTGCGTCAGCATCCTGCAGGGCCAGACCTTGGTCACCCTGGACTTCACGTCGCGTGTGATCGACTTCTTCACAGTGCATAACACGGAGCCAGAGGAAGGTAGGCGACCTGCTGTTCTGAACTGAGCCCGCCTCAGTTTCCCTCCCCTGCCCGACACCTGCTGACATTGGGCTGTTCTGCCTTCTAGAGTTTGATAACCCCAGTGCCCTGGTGGTCCTGGTGGAAGAAGAGCTGGTGGTCCTCGACCTGCAGACGCCCGGCTGGCCTACGGTTCCTGCCCCCTACCTAGCGCCCCTCCATTCCTCCGCCATCACCTGCTCCTATCACATCTCCAACGTCCCCCTGAAGCTGTGGGAGAGGATAATCAGCGCCGGGGAGCAGCAGAGCCCACGGCATTCTTGTGTGGTAAGGCAGTGCCCCTGCTGGAGAAAAGCCACTGAGCTGGATCTGGGTACGTACAGTGCCTGGCACAATGAGCCGGTGTTGTCTGGTGGAGCCTCTGTGGGGCGTTGTCACGCTGATCTGGCTCGACCTGTGTCCAGTTGGGTTGTGAAAACACCCACCTTGATTGACTTTGATGCCAGCCGCAGGGAGGGGGGAGAGAGGGAGCTGTGCATAGCGGGGAGCCCCCCACGGACCCATGGAATATTGCTCAATGTTTCCTCCCGTTCTGCGTGTCTTCCAGAGCTGGCCGATCAACGGAGGGAAAAACTTAGCCCAGGAACCCAGCCAGCGGGGCCTTCTCCTGACGGGGTAAGTACCACTCTGCCTCCGTCCCTTCGAAGGGCCAAACTTTCCTCAGTGCTGCCCTAGAGACGGGGTCTCGCTCGGAGATGCCCTGGCAAGTGTCCCGGGGAGCAGCATGCAAGAGATCGATGAGTCTGTCTACACTACAGTTGAAACCCCGCAGCTGGCCCAGGCTTGGGCCAAGGGGCAGTTTAATGAGTTTCTGGGGCCCTCCTGCCTTGCAGGGCATGTCTCCACGGCCATGAAACCGCCCCGGAGGCAGCTGGCCGGAGCCAGCCGCAGGTTTTTAATCGCAGGGGTAGCTACGCACGAAGGCAGGCAACGTGGGGGCAACGGAACCAGCCCAAAGCAGGGAAACCCGGAGGAACTGCCCAGCCTGAATCCAAGCATCTGGCAGGTGCTGGCCCCCACAGCCGCCCCTCTATTAGAGGGCCCACAAGGGAGGGCAAAGAGACGGGGGCTGGGACTTAAAATGGCCGAAGCTAAAACATACTTGGAATAACTGGGGCTTCCGTCGTGGCCCAGAGGCAGCCAGTGCCTCTTGGCTCGGGTCGGATGGGACCGAGGACTCCAGGGCAGTCCTCTCCCTGGCTGGCTGCAAGTCAGGGCCGGCGTCTGTGCGGAAGGGTGCTCTCTGCCACAGCAGGGTAGCGCTGTCCAGCAGCTAGAGCAGGGGCCTGTGAGATCTAGGTTCACCGCTGCTGGACTGCGGGGCAGGGGACGTTGCTTCTTGAGAGTGGGGAAGGGATGAGGAGTGTGAAGTCAGGAGGCTGGGCGAGAGGTGTGGGGTGTGAACAGATGCCGGGGAGAGATGGGGAAGTCCCCCCTCGGAGGCTGGGTGGGCGAGCTGACCGCTCTCCCCATTGAGCCTGGCAAGGATGCCTCCCTCTGTTTGTTTTTCCTTCCCCTCGCTCTGTGGAGGGTTGAGCTTGGCTCCGCGTTGGCTGACGCGTTGCCAAAGGCATCGCTGGCTGAGCGCTGCCCCAGCTCCTCCGGGCTTGTTGGCGGCCGCAGGCCTTCAGGCTGGCACAGGGGAGGAGGGGGCGATGGAAAATTCGAGGCAAACGTCAGGCTGGGCAGAGCCTGCTTTCCCGCGCAGGCGCACGCCCACGGGGGCTCCTGGGTGGCTCGCTGCCCTGCTGGCTCTCAGCCCGCTCTGGAGCGGAGATGGCAAGAGCCGATTTGGCACTGGCCAGAGCCTCCCTCCGCAGACAGCCTGTGTGCATAGTCCTGCTCTGCTGGTTGCGGGAGCCCAGCCTGGAGACGCGATCTCAAGCCGGTCTGCCTGCTGCTAGAAAGGCCAAGCCGGGGACAGCGCGGGGGGCTGGTCAGTTACCGGTGAGCCAAGCCCGGGCGGTGGTGGTAGATCCCATGCCCGGCGCCTGCCTTGGCGAGCTGTCCCCATTCTACAGGGCTCCGGGAGGGGGAGCAGGAAGCAGCCAGGGGCGTCCCTTCCTCGCCGAGGCATTGCCGCTCGGCTCCTCCAATCCCCAGCCGCCCACGTCGGCCTTTTCGTGGGCTTCGTCCTGGAGCAGCGTGGCACTCCCCGAGGGGGGGGGGGCGACCATTGGACCCCCCCCTTTCTGCGGGTGTAGTGCCCTAAATGTTTGCTCGGTGGCGTGTCGGTTCCTCCCCAGCCCTCAGCGTGCGAGTTGGGTGGATTCTAGGCCGGCTGGCTGGAGGGAAACATCGGCTTGGCTTGTTGCTAAGCAACCACTTCCCTTCGAATCCTGGGACTGCCTAGCGCTAGTGAAGCCAAGGATGAGGCAGGGTCTGCAGCCACCTGCCTGCCTCCCTCCCCCCCACCCCCGCCACTGGCGCCATCCCGAGGGCAGGGGGTCCGCTCCGTGACCCGGTAGCTGGTCCGGGATCCAGACGTGCTGTGGATTCGAAGCATTCGCCGCTTGGCTTTGGACCCAGTTGATCTCTGCCGCCCTCCCTGTGCCAGCCGGCCCCAAGGGCGGGGAATGCTGGCTGAGGGATTGCTGGGGACTGACACGAGCGCCAGGATCTGCCCTGGCCATCCCGAGGGCAGGGGGTCCGCTCCGTGACCCGGTAGCTGGTCCGGGATCCAGACGTGCTGTGGATTCGAAGCATTCGCCGCTTGGCTTTGGACCCAGTTGATCTCTGCCGCCCTCCCTGTGCCAGCCGGCCCCAAGGGCGGGGAATGCTGGCTGAGGGATTGCTGGGGACTGACACGAGCGCCAGGATCTGCCCTGACGGCCGTGGGCCGGGGAGGCTGCGTGCGATGGCGTCAGCATGAAACAACAGAGTCCATTCCTGTCTTGTACCCCCCTCTACCGTCCTGTGCGCACACGCTACATCCCAGGTGGGAAACGCTTGGCAGAACGTGCGGTTGGCATCCCCCCCGCCCAAGTCCCCTGCTGTATCTCGGTGCTTCTCCCGTCTTTAAGTGCAGGGGAAACAGGTTTGTCGGGGTCCGGGTTAAGAATCCATCCCTTTAGGGGTGAACGGCCTGGGAAGAAACATTTAAAGCTAGGAAGCTGCATTGTCTGAGTAGGGCGAGTGGAGGAAGCTGTCTTGGGAGCTTTTCGGGCACCCTCGTTGCATGGCTGCTCTTGCCAAAGCCAGTCTTCACAGCAGACTTCTTGGCTGCCTGTATTGCTGTTGGAACACACAAGTGTCTGGGCATTGCCATGTGTTACAGCCCCACCGAAAACCTTCCAAACGTCAGACCAGCACGGTGCAAGGCCCTTTAAACCGCGTGGTTTATTGTAAGAGAGATTCCTGCTCTTTGATCATTTATCTTCTCGTGGATGCTCAGCTAGTGAACGGACTTTCAGGCTAAACTGTGGCTAATAGAGGGTGTTGCAGGATTCCACCTGCCTGTTTAGTGGAAAGTGTGTGTTTAAAAACCCTCTGACTGGTCCCTCATTGGGCAAGTGATCTGGGCAAGCGATACTCCGATCTTGGGGATTCAGGTGCCAGATTCGCTCTTTCCGGTAATGCTGATTGCTGTGAGTTCATGGTTTTGTTTACTGCAGGGGCTGTGTATTCACATTTAAACAACATGACGGGGGATTCTTAGTGTTTGTCGTTCTCCTAGCAAAATGACTGGCCATGTATTTCATCAACTACGAGTTGGTTAATAACATGGTGAAAACCTCCTGATTGGGTGTTAGTTAAATCAGTGTTTTAATATGTACTGTTATCTTAATGCTTTGAGGAATTGGTTACTCAATTTTTTTCACCCCTTTTTGTACTGTGGCTGGCCAACGCCAGAAATTAGGTTGACCCAGCCACGTCACCCTGGGTGTGAAATTTACACCCCCAAGAGATGTAGTGAAGCTGACCTGAGGCCCGGTATAGACAGCACTCAGTCGATAGGTGTGACCTCTCTACAGCCATGAAAAGGCCCCTTCTGTCGCTGTAGGGTCCACTAGAAATTCTGCCCCAGAACGGCCTTGCCCCTGTAGCCTTTCAAATGTAAACGCAGCCGGTCTCCTAGTCTTGCTAGAATTGAATTCTCACCGGTGTTCCCTCTAACTTATTCCATCCAGGTGCAGGATAAACGTTGTGCACTGAGGCATGTGCACACACGGCCGTCTGGGGGTGCTCTGCTCATCCGCTTGGGTGGCGCTTGACTCTCCCCTGGGTGGCTGCCCCAGCGCTCTGCTTTCGGGGACCGCTGGTCACTGCACTCTGCTCCTGCTGCTGTTCAGTTTGGAGCTGGTGGCTTTTTATAGCCTTTTCCAGGCCGTACGCCTGGCTGTCGTGCAGATTGGTCCCTATCGTCATCTGGCATCCGGTCCTTGTACTGAGTGTCTGGCCTCATCCTTGGGGGTCTTCTGGAGTCTCGCTGGGCATGGCTTGCTAGAGCGGAGCGTGGGTGGCTTTCCTTACGTAGCACGAATAGGATGTTACCAGCGGCAGAAGCTCTCTGGGGACCATGCATCTCCCGAGGGTATCTGTCTAAGGTGCCTTTGGTCCATGCTGCAGTGACTGGATCCTCTTCTGCCATCTGGCTTTGTAGTAGCTGGATGCATCTGGGCCTCCGCTGCCCAAGGCTGCCTTCCTTTATCAGCCGGTGGGATGCACCGGTGCTGTCAGTGAGTCCGCCGCGATGAGCATCAGGCTGGCTGGGCTCCCGTGCTTAGCAGGGCGTGCTTTCTGGAATCCGCTGCCTATGGGTGACGGGAGCTAGCGTGGCCTGCAGAGAGACCCCCAGGTCTGCTCCAGACAGTCACGTATGCGGGGACCAGGCAAGGGACAGATCAGCCGCTCTCCCGGTTTCTCCGCACTGAGTGGCGCGTCTCTCCCTCTCCCCTCCCCAGGCACGAGGACGGCACGGTCCGTTTCTGGGACGCCTCCGGGGTGTCCCTGCGGCCGCTCTACAAACTGGGCACTGCCAACATCTTCCAGACTGACTGCGAGCACAACGACAGCCTCAACCAGGCCAGCGAGGAGGAGTGGCCTCCTTTCCGCAAGGTACCGCCCTGCGCCCCTTCCCCGTCCCTGGGGCAGCCCTGGGCCTCCTGCCCCGGCCCACGGTCCGTTTCTGGGACGCCTCCGGGGTGTCCCTGCGGCCGCTCTACAAACTGGGCACTGCCAACATCTTCCAGACTGACTGCGAGCACAACGACAGCCTCAACCAGGCCAGCGAGGAGGAGTGGCCTCCTTTCCGCAAGGTACCGCCCTGCGCCCCTTCCCCGTCCCTGGGGCAGCCCTGGGCCTCCTGCCCCGGCCTGGCTGGCTGTGGGCTCCCTGGGGCCTGTGGCTCGGGTAAAGGTCCCCCCCCCCCCCCCCGCGCCGCGCACCCCCC